GGAACCTCCCAGAACATTGTTTTGTGCCACTCCCAACAGAAATACTCCAGGTGGACACCTTCAGCAATCAGGAGCTCCTCAGTTGCTCATAGCAAGTCCCACCTTGGAGTTTACAAAGACTTATGGGTAGAAAAGCCACACAAAGTAATTTACTACACTGCAGTGTCTAAGGGCCATAGTCTCAGGGGTTCCACCAGTTTTCATCAGAACAGTAAGTCTGGTCTTTTTTGTGATTTTAAGTTTTGTTCCACATTTTCCCCCATTCTATCTGGGACCTCTTATTGTGATCCCTTTCAGAGCACTCAGTGTTGGTAACTGGGCACCATCTAGTGCTTCTGGTCTCAGGGTCAAAGAGGCTGGGGTTCACATGCACCATTAGTCCTTTGGACTAATTGTTTCCTGCATCTTTGATTTTCTTCACTCTTCCACTCTCCAGATGGGGAGAGACCAACAGTTGTACCTTAGATGACCACTCACAAGCTTTTTTTTTTTTTTTTAATTTTTATTGTGATTTGTGTAAAAGTTTACAGAGCAAATTCATATTCCATACAGTTGTACCTTAGATGACCACTCACAAGCTTTTTTTTTTTTTTTAAATTTTTATTGTGATTTGTGTAAAAGTTTACAGAGCAAATTCATATTCCATACAGCAGTTTACATACACTTTGTCTCATGACATTGACTGCAATTTTCCACAATGCAACAGCTCCCTCCCATGTCCTCCCCGTAGTTATCTCTTCCCTGTATCCTTCCTTCCCATGCACTCCAGACCCCTGAGCTGTCTCCCTGTGCATACACAGCCCTTCTATTCTCCCATGATTAATCTCTCCAAGAAGTGTATCTACCTAATGTAAATGTTCAGTTCATATGCCTGTCTTTTGTTTGGTTGGAAGCCACAGGTGTGGGTTCAATTCCAGATCTGAAGGGGAGCTAGGAGCCATAGTCTCAGACGTTCTACCAGGCTTTATCAGACCAGCAAACCTGATCCTTTTTGGTTATGATTTTGAGTTTATTTCCACATTGTTCATCCACTTTATCCATGATCTCCTACATAGATTCCCCTCCGAGTGGTGGACATTGGTAGCCAGCCACCCTCTAGTTCTTCTGGTGTCATAGTCATGTAGGCTGAGGATCGTAAGGTGTACCAATCACTTGGACTAATTGTTTCCATGCTTCTTTGCTTCTCTTCATTTTTCTTTGCTCTGCATGAGGAGACACCCATGGTTGCATCTATATGGCCACTTGCAAGCTTTTAAGATCCCAGGCACTTGGCCAAAGTGTAGGGTGTAAAACAATGTTTTTGTGTAGTATATTATGCAAATTGAACTTGATCTCCCCTATGACCATAGTCCCAAGCCCACAAATCCAACTACTCACTCTCTCTAGGTAGCTGGCTGTGGCCAAGAAGTGACTACAATGTTGTCCTTTGTCAGCTCTACTGTATGCCTGGAAATTCTTACAGAACACACAAATACACTTGTAGAAACATTGTCTGCCAACCCTATACATGGTCATGGGCACACTCTTCCCTGCATAGACATACCTAATTGTTCAGCCTGTCCACCCTTCTATCCACCCATAGATCAATGTTTGCTGTCACTGACAATGCAGTACTGTATATGCCAAAGGATTCATCTTTGTTGTCTGTACCTCT